AGGTCTTTTGTGCCGACCAGGATAGAGTGCCGTAAAAATTATTTATTCAAGGTGGTTGGTGGAGTGACCCGGAACTGTTGTTTCCATTTTAAGGCCTGCCTGTTCGCTATGGAAATGGACCGCTTGCTCTACATGGAAATATATCGCGCAATTTTCACCGTTTTAATTATTTTCTACATACAGATGGGGCAACAGGAACGGTGAAAATTATTTTCAGAGAAGGTTTACTACTGACTGTGGAGAGTGGAACTGCAAAGGAGGCAAGCGTGGGTGTAAGTACGAGCGCCATCTGAACAAAAAAATCTATACCAACTACCCTCAATCCGGGCGCTGGCTGTGTTGGTAAACTAAAAGTTTACACATGCACATAGGTTCTAAAAAACAAAGCAAAGCTGGAACACTCATACAGCAATATCGGAGTTGAAACGCTACCGAGGCTTCGCGAGTGCATGCAGATCGTTTTTTGAGGTCCTTCGCGATTTCTTTTCTTTGTTTGGGTGAAATGTCGTCGGTAAAGAGTATTTCAAGCATACTTTGTTTCATTTACCACTTAAATATGGAGGATGGACATATTGCGTATTGGGGAATTAGAGTATTCGGCCAGACACTATTTTGACATCGTTGACATATGCGCATGCGCAGTTTGTCTCACTATTACCGACGCGATGAAAATAGTAGCTGCCTCTAATCACGTAAGAATCAAAACTGACACAGTCAAGGCCTTAATAGAGGTTCTTGACAACTTTGACATTCCTGACAGGTGTCAATACTGTCAGCTTTTTCAAGCTGTATTTGTGCTTTGGATAGTTTTCGTTATTTGATTTTGATTCTCATCTTCCGATTTGATTTTCGTTTTCGAACTTCTGGCGGTGGTATGTGCTATTTGTGCCAGTTGAGTGCCGATAAATTATTGTAATTGATGAGCTGACAACTGTCACTGAGCCGCACACGAAGTCTAAGGCCGTGTCCAACCATGAAATCAATATGTGTATTTTTAAATCACAGGTACAGTCGTCAAAATACGGCCTCACCTTATAATTGTCTAGCATTATGGACTTGTTCAATAATTTCCTAATTTATGGCGGTCAATCAATTGTCATCAGTCATATAAAGTGTATTCCTTAACCTTCACGTTCGGCTCAAGGCTGCCAACAAAATTCTAATAATAGCTTATAAAAAGAAAAATCCTTTATTCGTCAAATGACGTTTGTATTATTTGAGAATCGATCGATGTTAATGCGTTATGAAATACAGTCTCGATATCCATTTGTTATACCTGATAATCAAAGTACTTTATAATACCGATTCGATTTTTATCTAGCTTATGTATGGACATATTATAAAGGATACACGATGGCGGTAACCATCTGCCCCATGGTGGGATTTCTATAGAATGTTACATCCAGTGTTGGGACACAGTTGCTCCTCAAGGTCTCCTTGTTATGAGAACGCCTTAAGGCTCCCCAGTACCCAGCGCATGATAGCTTGATGCGAATTTTCGACAGTGTTGTCGGGTCTACCGATTTTTCGTCAGATTCGCCACTTTTAGTCATATTTTACCGATTTTAATGCGAAATCTACTGAAAATTTTCTCGATTTCTTAGATAGTTTCATAGCTACCCTGCGCTTTCCAATTTTTTAAATACATTTCAGCATTTGATGCTACTCCTTTTCCGATTATGAATTTTCAAAACCGAGTAGAGCTGAAGAAAGGTTCCCCCTTCCTGAATATTCAAGTTTCTGATTTTTGATTTAATGTCTACAGAAATTTACAAACCTACCTAAAGCATATCGACTTGCCAACACTGTTTTTCGAGTCAATTTCCTCAATTTTGAAAATCTTTGATGATAACTATATGTGAAATTCCTCTTTAACGTTCCTGAAGAAAGCGTTAATATAATGTTTATTTCAAATCTAAAGAGAGATTTCTAAAACGGCACTCAATCCAAGAATGTCTATAAATGTGACCCTTAGTATCTGTTCATCTTCCCTGTATAATGCGCGAGCAACAACCAAGCAAGTGGTCTATTAAAAACAAGTCACGATCGCCTTTGAATTGATCTGGTAACTACGTTTACATCGGGTTGCTTCAAGCGATTTAGTGGAAGTGATCTTATCATTTAAACTACAAAACAGGTGGATTTGAAACTGAAATTACATAGTCAATATTCTTTTAGTTCTCATGGGAAATTAGCCCTGTTGGGTATGTAGTTTCGAATGTATTTTTAATCGAAGAAATAAATCACTGAGTACTCGGAAATACTCTTGTAATTGTATATGGTCGTAGTTGGTAATTTACAAAAGTATTTTACTCTAACTATATTGACTGAAATTTGAAAAATAGTAAACTTCTATTCTAGTCATAAAGTACTGATAAGTAGCAAGATTCCAATTAACAAAATGTTGCTAGATGGTACCTATACTTTTGCTTTAAAGTATAGTCATGTGTCAATTTAATCCAATAATTTTTTCACCACAAATTTTACCTTGCTAGCGTGACTCCTTTAAAAAAAGTATTTGAAAAGTGAATGCTATTTAGATGTAGACGCGTTAACAATTGGGAAGTACCTAATCAATCTACTCAACTCCATACGTTGAATAAAACGAGAGGTAGACAAACAAATCTTAATAAAAGTCCAACTGATATTCTCACTGACATCAAGCAAATGCAGTTACCACTCCGGCACTGACGAATGTATCTCTCGCTTGCTCGGTACTATTTCTATCGTTGAACTTGCCGGCCGGCGCGTTAGCCTTGAATTAGAAGTACTAGCGGAGGACAAAGACCTCTACGACTAGGTTCTTCGCTTCAGCAGAAATACTACGGTGGATAGAAGATATTCTTCACTATTTCTACAGGGCGCGATACGTATAGCTGGCAGGCCGTACCAAGCGGCGTTGCCGATACTTACGATGGTACGACTTGCGTTTTTGATTTGTCTGCAAGAGGGTGGATGTAGTATGTTACGAGAATGAGAAAATGGTAAAAATGAAAGTACTAGGGGATACGTACGCACTGTGCTACAGTAGAAGTATCAAGTACTAAGGTGAATAGATATTCAATATGTCTACAGATCGCGATATGTATTGCTAGTATGTCGTACGAAGCGGTGTTGCCAATACTTACGATCGTACGACTTGCGTTTTTGATTTCGTCACATGTGGTTAAATTAAGTATAGTAGAGCAGGACAACGGTAAGATTAGAAGTACTAGCAGAGAAAAAAGTAACGAGTAATTTGTTCGCTACAATACAGTGCTGGATACTATGGTGAAATGATTATCTTCACTACTTGTACAGCTACAGAGTGCAACACGTATAGTTAGCAGGTCGTACCAAACAATGTTGCTGATACCTAAGATGGTACGACTTGCGTTTCTGATTGGGTAGAAGAATGGTAGCTTTGAGAATAACTACTAGATAAAAATCTCTATCGCTAGATTCTTCACCTCAGTAGAAGTACCGGGTACTATATCGTCACTATTTCTACAGGACGCATAACGTAGAGCTAGCAGGTCGTACCAAGCGGTGTTGCCGATTCTTATGATGGTACGACTTGCGTTTTTGATGTGTACACATGTGGTTAAATTAAGTATATTAGAGCAGGAGAAATAACGGGTACTATGGTGAACAGGCTGTCTTCACTATTTCTACATGACACATACCGTATAGCTGGCAGGCCGTACCAAGCGGTGTTGCCGATACGGTGGTACGACTAGGTAAGAATCTCTTCAGCTACACTCTTTGTTGCATCTTGCATAGTTAGCAGGTCGTACTAAGCGGCGTTGCCGATACTTAGGATGGTACGACTTGCGTTTCTGATTAGTGTGCAAGGAGATGAATTTACTATCTTAAGGTAAGAGAATGGTAACATTAGAAGTGCGACCGGGTAAGAATCTATACGAGTGTTTTCTTTACTACAGTGAAAGTACCGCGTACAATGGACTACACACTGTCTTCGCTATTTCTACAGGTAGTATAACATATAGCTAACAGATCATATCAAGCAGTGTTGCCGATACTTAGGATGGCACTACTTGCGTTTTGATTGATCTGTAAGGAGGTGGATTTCGTGTATTAGAGCAGAACGATAAAACCAGAAGTACTAGCAGACTAGATTGATTACTACGGTAGTACTACCTGATACCAAGGTGCATAGATTCCTTTCACTGTTCATCCAGGGCACATCAGGTATAGTTGGTCGATCTACTGAGCGGTCTTGCCGATATGCAACAACAAAATAGACTGATACTGGCCAATTTACTGCATGACTCGTTGATCCCCCTGTACATAGCATTCGTTCAATTATAGCAACAGTTCGATACAGCATGGCGCATACAGCTTCAGGCTTCAATCCAGCTGGGCTGAATTCAAACGCTGTTTCATTTTCTCCTCGTCCAATATTTACCTGCTGATTGTGTACGTTATTCACTTTGCGACTGCTGGCTTTATTAGCAGCCCTTTAGCCATTGGTGGCGGTCTACAATCCACTGAGGCACACGTGCTAACCACCTACCTCGTTTGCGAGGCAGAATAGTATCGTAGAGACTAGCTATTACAGATGAGGCAAATCTACTATTATCAACTATTCATATAGGTGCTGTTTGTCTCCAACGACTAGACTTCTACCGCACTGATGATTGCGGAAAAGCATGACACGCCGTTGTATGAGGCTGGTTAAGCTCATCCCATTCAACCTTCGATGACTCAAAGGAACTGCTTGGTGAAGTTGGAACTTTAACAACATCACTATTTAAAGGACTTTTTCCAAAAAATTTTGATAATGTGACGCCGCTGGTCTCCTGTAAACTTTTGCTAGCATCGAATCGTTATCGTGTTTTTGCGCGCTGCAGGTAAAGCGTAATGTTCCAGAAAATGGAATGGTATCGAATCATCAAGCCTGATTATTCGGCTATTTCTTTGTGATTTGCTGTGTACCTTTCTTTTTCATCGCGTTGCATGACATGTTCACGTTGCAATTTCGTGTGTTGCCTAATGGACTAGAAGTTGAAGTTTGACGGTTCATCGTGTTTCGGGCGGTATTGATGGATTTTAAATGCTCTGTGAAAAAACTTATTAGTCTGAAATTAAGTATGAATGGGGACGCTTTAACGATCATAAATCCAAGAAAACTCGAGTTACTTGAACATCTGGCACATGTTGCGACAAATCTGCCCGACCAGGTGTGATTCCTTTTGAATAAGCTGCACATGCAAGTTGTTATACTGCATCGGTATTATCATCATTGAATGTCCTAATTTGCATGGAATATGGATTCTTGTACCTCGAAGGCAAGACCGGACGTCTTGACGCTGATTGGCCAACTCAAACGGCTTGACTAATATATCCCGCGTAAGAGAGTGAATGAGCACCCAGGTCTATGGACTCTCGAATAGTTTTAAACTGCATAATTATTGCTTTCGGGGCTGTATCTAAGAGGTGGGGTTTATATTGTTTCATAGGATCTCGTTTTCTAGTCAAGGAGTCCTTGGTAAGCAGAACAACCCTATCTGAGATCCGGCGGCGTGGACCGCCATCTTATCGCTTGTACAGTTGCAGGATATCCAACTATTGCTCAATCCTGCTGAGACTACACAATCTGCCGTAGTAACTGAAGGTTGGGGGTAACGAAGTTTCTCACTGAAAGAACTAGGTGTTTCCTTTATTAACAAACAAACCCTTTGACGAACTAGTGAAGGGTTGCGTTCAGCCGCCCTTGGTCCGTCACACTATCTTACGCCTGACCTCGCACCATCGACCTTCGCTTTCGTTTCCTTCCAGTTGAAAAACAGCGGTGCGTCAACGTGCACAGTACCCTCATTATTTTCGCAGGCATCCTCCCGCTCCTTAGACCCTTCCCTCTCTTCCCGGAAACACGGCCGAGCAGGTGAATATTGCATGCGGGACAATCAGTCGGAGAGGGCGATCGTTTAGAAAACGCGCGTCTGGCCGACCCTTTAATAATGCAAGCGTTGCCGGCTTTTTGACGCTCGTGCGATGCAAATTCACCGAGCAGGGGCGCCTTTTCAATGTGTGCGATCTGTGGCAGAAAAGTAATGGAGGATTTTTTATTTACCATTGTTTTTCGCGCAGTATTTCGTGTCTTTCAAACCATTTATCTGTCTTCTGCTAATAAGCACGAATGATAGCTGTCTGATCAATCGATATCATTTCCTTCGAAGCAAAAATCACAGGGACTTAGATCAGGTGAATATCGAGACTTGGGAAGCACTGACTGCCTTTTGAGGTCAAAAGTGGAGATGGCAGCTCAAGGTGGGGCGTTGCCATAATGAAACACCCACTTCCCTGCAATGTCTCCTCTCAAGCGGAAGACCGTTTTACTTCCTACGCCTCTGGCGAGAAACGAAAATTGTACCAGAACTTGTTTCCAAGGCGCACTATTCTTGACCGTAAGTGACAAAGTGACCCAGCCATCTCATCATCGATCTCAACGTACGTCACGCGTTCCTGAATTTTCCTCTCCCCGCTTTTCGCAGCAAAGCTTATTCTTGAACAACAACCGGTCGTTTTCCGCAATGTAACGTTCCCTTTGTTAGCAGCAAGCTCCAGCGCCAACCAAGCAGTCGACTTCATCGACCTTCCTGCTTTCGTCGCTACCTTGCTCGGTGCCTGCATAAAAGACTCCCAACCCGAATGGATTTTGATAAAGCGGGTACAACAGGCGACTCGCGAAGCAACGGTGCCAGATTGCGCACATTTGATAAATGTTCATTTTAGACCGGTAGCGTGTATGGTCTAAAAGGTATGCTTGCTTTGACAGACATTGGGAATGACATATTATTACTAATTTTGAGAGTCAGGATTATAAGTGGTTAATGATTTTTTCTGAGACTGATTGATTTGTCCAGTGTTGAAGAGACTGCCAACAATCTCATTACAATCTTTTTCCACTCTTGATGTAGTTTCTCTACTGAGTTCAATATATACTGGGTGACAAACAAAGGTAGGTACGTTTATTAGAATTCGAGATATTTAATCTTTTTAGTGGTAATTTATCAATTATTCTATTACATACGTCAAAATACTGTTGCCATCGAATTATCACGGTGACGTTGCCTCTGTGACCGCTTGTGACAATTGAGTCAAAATGTTCTTTCAGGAAACTTTTCGTTTTATTTAAAAGATTGTGGTAAAAGGAGTGTTTTTTATTGTTGTGATAATAAATAATTGGTGGAACGAGTAGTGAAAATATTTCTATCTGTACCATTACACTGGACAACAAATTTTAGTTTTTTAATTGTATCTTGTGGGAAAAGTGCACTTCTTTGTTAATTTTGGGGCGCTGAATCCAAAAATGACAATGAAATAAAAAAATTAGTTGCGGTTTAGAAAAAAACTTTTTATTTTTTAAGGATATATTAAAAAAAGTAACAAGATTCATATACTTATAAGAATCACTATATGCGCTGTCTTTTTGCTGTTCTTTTATGGATCGTTTCTGGAGCATCTCTACCAAGAGTCCAACAGTAGTCTGCAAGCATGGAAGGATTCCACTTTCCCTGGTACCTTTTTTCCATTGTTGAAATATCCTGATGAAAACGTTCGCCGTGCTCATCACTTACGGCTCCGCAATTGTCAGGAAAAGAGTCCAGGTGTGAGTGTAGGAAATGTATCTTAAGAGACATATTACAGCCCATCTTTTGATACGATGACAGCATATTTTTGACATGGGTTTTATAGTTGTCAGCTTTTCTATTTCCCAAGAAATTAGTGACCACCAGACGGAAATCATTCCAAGCAGTTTTTTCAATACCTGGTAAAGTGTTTTCAAACTGTGTATCTTTCAAAATATTTCGAATCTGTGGCCCAACAAAAATACCTTCTTTAACCTTTGCCTCACTTAGTCTTGGAAATTTCTGACGCAGGTATTGAAAAGCTGACCCATCTCTATCTAATGCCTTGACAAAGTTTTTCATTAGGCCCAACTTGATATGCAGTGGTGGTAATAAAATTTTTTTCGAATCTACTAATGGCATAGGCTGTATATTTTTTTGACCTGGCTCTAGGAATTGACGAACAGGCCAGTTTTGTCTGGTGTAATGAAGAGCCTTTGCCCGACTGTCCCATTCACAAAAAAACAGCAAAAATCTGTGTAGCCTAGCTGCAGCCCAAGTAAAAGTGCAACAACTTTCAAATCGCCACAAATATGCCATTGGTGCTCATCGTATTTTATGCATGTCAATAGGTACTTCATATTGTCATATGATTCTTTCATGTGAACTGCATACCCTACAGGAAGAGATGGTAAAGTCTTTGTGGCGTTTACGAAAAACACATACCGAAACATCGTCTTCTAACAAGTTCCACTGCTGCAGTCTTGATCCAAGTAACTCTGCCTTACATTTTGGAAGTTCTAAATCTCTTACAAGATCATTTAATTCTGACTGTGTTATTTTGTGCGGTTGGTGGCATGACGTGCTCGGTATAAAATCAGGATCTCTTGACGTTGATGGCATATCTTCTTCCCGACGAATCACTCGATCGCCATGATCTGATTCGTTTTCTGATTCGCAAGTGTAGGATTCTGGGGGTTTTGGAATAGGATTTTCGTCACTGTGAGGCACAGGTCTCATCGCAGATGGTATGTTTGGGTAGTTAATAACCGATTTTTTTTCTTGGACATACCTGTGGCTTGTCCAACACAAGGTACCATGCAAAAGTAACAATCATTAATATGATTTGTAGGCTCTCTCCAAACCATTGGGACAGCAAAGCGCATAGACCGTTTTTTGCCATTTAACCAGCTCCTCAGACTTGAAGCACATGTATTACAGCAGATGTAGGGTGCCCACTGTTTGTCTTGATCACCTAGTTTACAACCGAAATAAAGCTGATATGCCTTTGTTATTAGTGGAGTAATAGACCGTCTCTGAGACGCAAAAGTCACATCACCACACACGTAACAAAACTGATCTGGATTGTTTACACACTTTCGAGACATCTTGCATGAACGCTGTCAGCCAACTGAGGAAAAAATGGCTAACATAAAACAATATAATGTACACGTATGTATAACGTAACACAATCATGACGATTACATCATCTTTCCTTGCCGAATATAAAAATGTAGCACGTGCATTCTTGTGAATTACAGTATATTAACACTGTCACAGCAGGAACACATATAATTACCGTATCTCTAAAACTTGAACTGATATTGAAAAAATAAGTTTCATTCCAGTTTTAGCACATTAAAAATAGTAATATTTTGTTGATTTTATTTAGGATATTTTTTGGCTGTTGATCAGTGATTAATGGAAGAGGCTAGAATGGGCCTGATTGGAAAGTCCCTGTTAACAACCGGCTCGACACTGAGCTTTGGACCAAAAGAAATAAATCTAGAAGCTGTATCAGGATGTTAACTTTGCTAAGGTTCTTGACCCAGTTTCGCTGAGTGTTAAGCAGTTCTCACAGAGTCACCTAACAATCTGCCAAATTTGATGTTAAGGAACAAAGTATTATAAAATTAATATAATTGTGGAAGAAGCAATATTTTCAGTGATTTAAGTGAAGAATGAGGTATGATCAGTAATTTAAGACAGGAAGGGATCTCAAGCGACAAAGGTCTTGCACCTAACCTTTGTAATGGAGAATTAAGCCAGGTGGTTGTGTGAAATGTGATTGATAGATCTTAGACGATGGATGACGTGAGGTGATGCAATGTCATTTTTCGTGCACTTAATTAGGAAAATCCCTCGTTAAGTTCATCAGCTCATCAGACTGCTCGTGTGTATCTCATGTTGATCCTCGAAAAACCCAAATCTGTTAGCCATTTAAGAGGAAGACTCTTCGTCTTTGGGGGAAATCGACAAATTGTACATATAAATGCAAAGTGTACTCTTTTAACTTACAACCAAAGCTTGAGACAGTCTATGCTGTCATCATCAGCAACCAGAAACAGATTTAAAAATTTTGTTACTGCGTCAGCGAGATTGGTGCTCAAATCTGATTTGATAAAATGTGAACGGAACACATAGTAGGATAATCAAAAACTGGATTCATGTGGATCTTTTTGGAAAATCGTTGAAAAACATGGCTATATTGTACTATAAAACCACGCACGGATTTGGAAAAATATTATTATTTTCAAATGTTTCGAATTTCTTTCGTTGGCGATTAGCTGGATCATATTTAAACAAAGTCACACGTATTAGACTGTTGTAAACTGAACAATGGATACAGGAGTAATCTAGAACTCTAAAGGCTTGAGAATAAAATGGAATTCGGACGTGATATATGTACATATAAAATTCACTCAATAAACTAGTTTAGGACAAGAAAAATGTTCGTACCTCTAGTCAAACAGGTCTACCATAAAGTCTCACTTAACTTATTCACAACATCGTTTCAGAAAATATAAATCTGTAAGACCACCCTCCTATCAACTTTCACTTTGGTCTATACAGGGTGACTTTAAAGTTGAGTCATTAATTTTCAGATAATGATTGTAGAAGGAAGATAAACCAAAATATGTGTGTAAAAATAAAAAAAAAATTTTACCTTGTTTTATAAAGTATCCTCCCGACAAGTATTTCAGTGCGGACCTGTATTTGATCGTGAGGTCTCCTGTGAGGTCTTAAGTCACCTGATTCACGAGCCTGTTGTACTACATTAACAAAGGCACGAGGGGTTGGTTGCACTCGATTGGGAAACCGATCCGCATAAACATGTGCCATTTTTTATTTCGTTTGAGCCACGCAACAGACACCACTATTCACACGCGTTACCGACTGACACTGACTGTATGTATACAACTGAATAAAATTATTGTAAAAACATCGTTCCAAATTCTTTCGCTTTTTTGTTCCCGATGCGATGAACCGATAAGGCGGATTATATCCGTTGTTGCCAAACACGAGCACATGATATTATTATTGAGACAGGGCGGTACTCAAACTTCCAAAGGGCTATAACTTTGTTACTTTAATTTTACCAGAAAAACGGTAAAGGAAAAAACATTTCTTTTGATCAGATCTACTCACTGTTAAAATAAATGACTCAACTTCGAAGTCACCCTGTATACAGGGTGGCGCATCGAAAACGAAACAGACGCATTTACTGGCAGCTCATTTTTTTTCAACAACAAAATGATAAACAAACCATGGGCGTAGTGAAGAAAAGCATTTACTTATTAAGTAAATTCTTTTAGTCAAATTTCTTCTGAAAGTAGTACAAACTAATCTGATGTACCTATTAAAGTATTCTTTAAGCTTTAAATCAATAAATCTTCAAAACTACTGAACTGAATCTCATGTATTTTACATCATTATAAAAGGAATTGAAAGTCCTTTAAAATAAGGTATCACTCGAACCCCCCTCTCCATTTAAGATTTTAGGGTTGGTGTCACTCTCGCCCAGGTGGCTGCACGTGTTAACGTGACTTTTTGCCAAACTTGTGTCCCCCTCTAAAACAAAATCGACGGGTCTGAGCGTTTTTCCAAAAAAAAAAACTGAGCTGCCGGTAAATGCGTCTGTTTCTTTTTCGATGCGCCACCCTGTATATTTAACATTATATACATATTGATTTAGCAAAAGCAATTAACAGCCTTAACATCCACATAATCAGGAGCAACTTTCTGTACCTTTGTAAATAAAGACGATACTATTAT